GTGTGTGTGTGTGTGTGTGTGTGTGTGTGTGTGTGTGTGTGTGTGTGTGTGTGTGTGTGTGTGTGTGTGTGTGTGTGTCTCTGTACTCACCCATGTGACCATGGGTAGATTAGGGACGGGGATAACTGGAGGAGCTTCTAAATCATGGGGGAAGGGGAAGAGTGGCCTAAGTCTGTAGTCCTAGCTCAGAACAATTCAACAATCATTTGGTGAGTGTTTGTTTAGTGCCAAGGACTATGCCAGGTTCTGAGGCTATTCAGACAAATACAATGGTTTCTGCTCTTAGTTATTATGTCCTGGTTTTCAATTAGAAGGCCAGCATTCTCAAAGGTGACTCTTCAAATGAAATGCATCAGCACCCAATCCCCTCAACCTTTCCACGGTAGTCTAAATGCTATCTTGACATAAAACTCAAGGGTACTTCTTAATTACTATTTGGGATGGAGGAGGGAAGGAATGAATACTCTTGTTTTTCTTGGGATGCTTAAGCTTCAATTACAGTAATGGGATCTGAGATCCAGGCTATTTTCACATTCTTTTTCAATGAGTTGTAATTTTTAAAATAAAAACTGGATGTACTATTTAAAAATCTACTGGTGGTAGGTAATAAGATATACATTCCTAACACGTAATATGTACTATTATTATATGTTCCTAATATACGATAATACAAATATATACTATTTCAGAGTGATGAACTTAAGGAGTTCATATTATAATTTGGGGTAATGTTTCACAAAGTAGGTTTCTAGAAATATTTTCCAGGTTGTTGTTGTTAGGTGCCGTCGAGGCGGTTCCGACTCATAGCGACTCTATGTACAACAGAACGATACACTACCTGGTTCTGCGCCACCCTCACAATTGTTATGCTTAAGCCCATCCCAACAGCAGCCACTGCATAAATCTATCTCGTTGAGGGTGTTCCTCTTTTTCGCTGATCCTCTACTTTTCCAAGCATGATGTCCTTCTCCAGGGACTGATCCTTCCTGATAACATGTCCGAAAACACCATGGCTTGGGTCAGGCACACCTTAGTCTTCAAGGTGACATCTTTGCTTTTCAACACTTTAAAGAGATCTTTTGCAGCAGGTCTGCCCAATGCAATGCATCTTTTGATTTCTTGATTGCTGCTTCCAAGGGTGTTGATTGTGGATTCAAGTAAAATGAAATCCTTGACAACTTCAATCATTTCTCCATTTATCAGAACGCTGCTTATTGGTCCAGTTGTGAGGATTTTTGTTTTCTTTATGTTGAGGTGTAATCCATATCGAAGGCTGTGGTCTTTGATCTTCATCAGTTAAGTCCTTCAAGTCCTCGTCACTTTAAGCAAGCAAGGTTGTATCATCTGCATAACGCAGGGATGTTAATGAGTCTTCCTCCAATCCTGATGCCCTGTTCTTCTTCGTATAGTCTAGCTTCTCGGATTATTTGCTCAGCATAAGACTGAATAGGTATGGTAAAAGGATACTGCCCTGACGCACAGCTTTCCTGACTTTAAACCACACCATATCCTCTTGTTCTATTTGAACAACTGCCTCTTGATCTATGTACAGGTTCTTCATAAGCACAATTAAGTGTGCTGGAATTCCCATTCTTCGCAATGTTATCCACAATTTGTTATGATCCACACAGTCGAATGCCTCTGCATAGTCAATAAAACACAAGTAAGCATCTTTCTGGTATTCTCTGCTTTCAGCCAGGATTCATCTGGCATCAGCAATGAGATCCCTTGTTCCACGTCCTCTTCTGAATCCGGCTTGAATTTCTGGCAGTTCCCTGTCGATATACTGCTGCAGCCGCTTCTGAATGATCTTCAGCAAAATTTTACCTGTGTGTGATATTAATGATATTGTTCAATAATTTCTGCGTTTGGTTGGATTACCTTTCTTTGCAATGGGCACGAATATGGATCTCTTCCAGTCAGTTGGTCAGGCAGCTGTCTTCCAAATTTCTTGGCATAGAAGAGTGAGCACTTCCAGTGCTGCCTCCGATTGTTGAAACATCTCAGTTGGTATTCCATCAATTCCTGGAGCCTGGTTTTTCACCAATGGCTTCAGTGCAGCTCGGACTTCTCCATTCAGTACCTTCGGTTCTTGATCATATGCTACCTCCTGAAATGGCTGAACGTTGACCAATTCTTTTTGGTATAGTGACTCTGTGTATTCCTTCCATCTTCTTTTGATGCTTCCTGCATTGTTTAATATTTTCCCCGTAGAACACTTCACTATTGCAACTTGAGGCTTGAATTTTTTGTTCTGTTCTTTCAGCCTGAGAAATGCAGAATGTGTTCTTCCCTTTTGTTTTTCTATCTCCAGGTCTTTGTACATGTCATTATAATACTTTACTTTGTCTTCTGGAGCTGCCCTTTGAAATCTTCTGTTCAGCTCTTTTACTTCATCATTTCTTTGTTTCGCTTTAGCTACTCTGTTCAAAAGCCAGTTTCAGAGTCTCTTCTGACATCTATTTTGGTCTTTTCTTTCTTTCCTGTCTTTTTAATGACCTCTTGCTTTCTTCATATATGATGGCCTTGATGTCATTCCACAGCTTGTCTGGTCTTCTTCAGCCATTAGTGTTCAACGCATCAAATCTATTTTTGAGATGGTCTCTAAATTCAGGTGAGATATACTCAAGGTCGTACACTTCGGCTCTCGTGGACTTGTTCTGATTTTTTTCAGTTTCAACTTGAACTTGCATATGAGCAATTGATGGTCTGTTCTGTAGTCGGCCCCTGGCCTTGTTCTGACTGATGATTTTGAGCTTTTCCATTGTCTCTCTCCACAGATGTAGTCGATTTGATTCCTGTGTATCCCATCTTGCGAGGTCCATGTGTATAGCTGATGTTTATGTTGGTGAAAGCAGGTATTTGCAACGAAGAAGTTGGTGGTCTTGCAAAATTCAATCGTGCAATCTCCAGCATCGTTTCTATCACCAAGGCCATATTTCCCAACTACCGATCCTTCTTCTTTGTTTCCAACTTTCGCATTCCAATCTCCAGTAATTATCAATGCATCCTGATTGCAAGTTTGATCAATTTCAGACTGCAGAAGTTGGTAAAAATCTTCAATTTCTTCATCTTTGGCCTTAGTGGTTGGTGCATAGATTTGAATAATAGTCATGTTAACTGGTCCTCCTTGTAGGCATATGGATATTATCCTATCACTGACAGCGTTGTACTTCAGGATGGATCTTGTAATGTTCTTTTTGACGATGAATGCAATGCCGCCATTCCTCTTCATGTTGTCATTCCCGGCATAGTAGACCATATGATTGTCCGATTCAAAATGGCCAATACCAGTCTGTTTTAGCTCAGTAATGCCTAGGATATCGATGTTTATACGTTCCATTTCATTTTTGATGATTTCTAGTTTTCCTGGATTCATACTTTGTACATTCCATGTTCCAATTATTAGCAGATGTTTGCAGCTGTTTCTTCTCATTCTGAGTCATGCCACATCCACAAATGAAGGTCCCAACACATCCACATCATTAAGGTTGACTCTACTTTGAGGAGGCAGCTCTTCCCCAGTCGTATTTTGAGTGCCTTCCAACCTGAGGGGCTCATCTTCCAGCACTGTATCAGACAATGTTCCGCTGCTATTCATAAGGTTTTCACTGGCTAATTCTTTTCAGAAGCAGACTGCTGGGTCCTTCTTCCCAGTTTGTTTTAGTCTGGAAGCTCAGCTGAAACCTGTCCTCCATGGGTGACCCTGTTGGTATTTGAATACCAGTGGCATAACTTCCAGCATCACGGCATCACGCAAGCCCCCACAGTACAACAAACTAACAGACGCGTGGGGGATTTTCAAGGTATTCCTTAAAAATTCATTGTTAACTAAGCTTGGGAAACATTGCTTTCTATATATCAACTCTTGGATTTTCATAATGCACATTAGCACATTAAAGACTCTGGAGTCATACAAGAAATCTGTATAGCTTTGTTTAACCCCTGTTTCACATTTACATGACAAGAGAATTTTTTTTTTCTTGTGTAATTTCTCATGACATTTGTCTTAAGTAGTTCTTGGTGCAACACACTTTGGGAACTGATATCCAGATAAAGACTATGCTATTCAAGTAAATCTGGAGACACTGCTTTCCCTCAAATTGCTTGTGACCCTATTAAAATAAAAACCATAAAACCTGCTCAGAAATAAAACTTTGGTGTAAATTTAATATAAAATAAAAACAAACACAAGAGTCACAGAAAAATACACAAAAAAGGATAATATGCCAATTTTAGGAATATATCCAACAGATCTGTATCATCAGGAAGAGGTGAAATTCTTACACAAAAACCACTTAAAAACAAAAAAAAAAAATCAGAGTTTTAAATCCACTTACCATACAAGGGTTTACGGTGAGTACACTCTTGATAAACTGAAATAGCAGAATGCCAGGCTGTTTAACTATGCTCTTGAGGTCAGACTCAGTTTCAATATTCTGAGAACCAAATCCACTGACTACCCACAGGTGGTAGCCTTCTGCACCCCAGCTCTTCAGGGGGAGGGAAGGGGAAAAGAAAAAACACCAAAGCAATGAAAAGTTTCTTGTTATCCTTTCCTAGCTTCAAATATTCAAATTCTGCAATAACCAACAAAGGCATTATGAATGACTTCTGCAGGCCAAGGAAACCACGACAATCTCGATGCAGACAAGAACCACTTCTACATCTCTGCCACCTCTCGAGGCAATCAGTCACTGCTCTCTACTCAGAAGAGCGGACACACGACACACCATACTTAGTGCCAATTTCAGGATCTCAGTCCTAAGAAATACCTGCTGCTCTAACGTCTACAAAAATTAGATTTAACTACATCTCAAGTGTGACCCAGGTTACCTAGCTGAAGCCTGACAAAGAAGCATCTACAACAGATGCAGTTCTGTCAACAGCAAAGAACACCGGAGGGGAAGGCGTAAGACTAGGGTTTGCATTCCAACTTGGCCTCCATTCTGTTGTATTACCTTGGCCAAGCTGTTCTCAGGGCATTAAGTTTCCTTGTCTGTAAAATGCAAAGGTTCAAATACATTTCTCAAGGCCCAGTCAGTTTTAATGTTCTGTGCCTAGACTCCACCATAGTGTTTTCAAGATTAGTGATTCCCAACATGGGAGCCAAGAAAGTAGTAATGGAGGTCAGTCAACTGTTATCCAAATTTGAAAAACGTAATAGAAGATTTATGTTTTCCTAGGATAAAGCTGCACAAGCTAACATAAATGCTTAGATTCCTAAGTTTGTGACTGAAATATCGAATTAGCGAGGCTGCAACTACCAGTTATTGCATGCCATTCAGAATCAACAACTGGCAGCTACAGAAATGCTGTTTGGTTGAAAACCTATTTTAAAACATGAGAGTAGGGAGAGACATCAGAAGGATTCCTTGGTGGTGAAAGTCTGGGAACTACTATTCAAGGTAGTTGTAATTCTTGGAGAAATCCAAGTTCAGAAAATGCCTCCCTCTCTGTAGCAACAGAAAAAAGTAGAGAGAAGCTTCACAGCCACTAATTTCTCAAGGATGGTACCCGGAAGGGCTATCCTAAGAAAATGTTATTTATGTAAAGATAGGGACTGCCTCATTTTTTTTTATAGAAACTCTGGAAAACAGGTGATAAATGAAATGTATTGTTACAGCAGTGACTGTAAGTCTCTTGCCATACATCTACGGGGAGTTTTAAAAATATACTCAATACAAAGTGTGTGTCCTACAGGAAAAGCCACCAATGAGCACTTTGCTTTATGCTAAAAGAAAGGAGGCTATGAGAGATAAGTGCTAGTAACTCACACAAGAAATGGAGGTATGTTTTGAAAAAAGAAAGGCTTGATCTGAACAGTCATTATCTTCACAAAGATAACAGTGGCTTGCTGGACATACCTAAGCAAAATCAAAATCAAACACTGAAAATAGGGCAGCCTGCCCGTTTTTAAAAAATGCTTCTATCAAAGAATCATATAAAGAAAAGTCTGTCTCTCTTACTTAAGAGAAACTAAAATAGCTTTATTTGGCTGCTAACTAAAAGGCTGGCAGTTCGAATCCATCAGGCGCTTCTTGGAAATCCTATGGGGCAGTTCTACTCTGTCCTATAGGGTCGCTATGACTTGACAGCAACGAGTTTGGTTTTGGGTTAAAATAACTTTGTGACTTTATCAGACCAACATGAGAAAAAGGGAAGAAAGAAAGAAAAAAAATCCTCGGTTTCTCACACTTTTTTTTTTTTTTAAAAAACAGAAACTGCTTACCATAGAATTGATCTTAAGGGGCTCTTTTTTGGTACCATCAGACCTATAACTGAAACAGAACAAAGACAGAATTTAAAAGTATCTTCTAATTACATACAATACACATAATATTTGGCTTTAATTTTTTTAAATCAAATTGATTTTGCTTCTTTAAAATAGAAATACATAATAATGCATGAAATACCAGACTACTGGTTAATACACCTAGATCTAACTAAGCCACTTCTCCTAGGGCCAAACTGACTTCTTGACAGGGTCAAGGAAGCTATGTTTATTCCCTCAGGAATCTCAGGGATGGATTACCCAAAAAGCAAGGTACACATGGGCTTACTTGTACTAACTTACTAATCTATAGTGCACAATTTCACATGGGTTTCACCACATCTCTGATGTAGTGAAAAAACAGGTGAAATTGTGCACTTCAGATTAGTAAGTACAAGTAAGCTCGTGTGACCCAACCAACCTGTTGCCATCAAGTCGATTCCGACTCATAGTGACCCTATATGACAGGGTAGAACTGCCCCACAGGGTTTCCAAGGAGCAGCTGGTGGATTCAAACTGCTGACCTTTTGGTTAGCATCTGAGCTCTTAATCACTGTGCCACCAGTACTTTGCTTAATGTAAGCCAGTGCATACCCTGCTTACTAGTTAATCGGCCTCTGGTTTAAGGTTTAGGATACTATATAAGGTAGATAGATACCAACCCACAAATGAGATACTGTAACTTTCTACTTTCTAATAGTTACATATGTATGTGGCTTACCTCTCTTATCAGATGATAAGCTTCATAGTCTGAAGACCAAACTATGTCTGATTCAGCTTTGAATCTAACATGCTGTCATATACACAGCAAGGTTTCAATAAATGAATGTTACTGAGTTAATAGTCAGTTTTAAGAGGATAGACGTTTGGAGAATCAATACATTCTGAACAAATTAATTCTGAAGTTTATAAATTATTTTGGGATAAAAGTCAAATAAAGCAAAAAGGGGAGCTCTATGACAGAGTGTGTGTGTGAGTTTATTGTCTGGAGGGCAGTGAAATTATTTTATCTAAGAATTTGTTATAATTCACTCACGCAAAATCTCCTCCAAGTGTACAAATCAGCTGGGCTCCAAACACACTCCATAAAGAAAGGCCTCCACACTCCCAGGTCACTATCACAACGCTGTTGTCAGGAGACCACTTGATCATTTTAACAGCTCCGGTTTTGTTCCAAATGTCTGTTAAGAAATTGTGACAGGAGTCAAAAATAAATGATTGCTTCAGGAATACTTAGTATTTTTTACAGTCTATATATTCTACACAAGCAGAAAGGCATGATTTCAAACAATCGGATGAATCCTGCTCATTTAGGGGTATTTAAGCCATAAGCCTTGACCTGATCTGAGCGGAACAAACTTAGTGTCCAAGTGACTGATAAGAAGTGAAAGTCATTTCTGGATACTTTTAGACTGAATAACTACCACTGTGAACTATTAAACGTATTTGGCTTTGGGCAGGTCAGTTTCTGTAAATAGGATCTACGTTGAATGATTCAATATTGAATGTGAAAGTACTCTGCAAAGTACAAAGTCATTTAAAATGTAGAGTAATACTTTATGACTATCATCATGCTGCACTGGCAACATCAAAGGGATGTAAGTTCAAATAAACTGACCTTCAACGTTTTATTAGAATAAGCACACTCCAGCCTGAGTACTCCAGGTACTCACATCTTCTTTCATCTAATAATAATTCTTTCAACTCTGTATATAGTAATTACTAAAGGAGAAAATTCATTGTGTATTAAAATCTAAGTTTCTTTAATACAGAGTTAGATTAACCATGCCAGCGTTTCCCATCTGCAATTCAAACAGATCTACAGTATCACTTTTTTTAAAATTAGAATTCTTTCCATTTGTAGCTGCTAATTAATTTTTGCCATTAAGTATATCTGCTACAAAGGGGAGGTATATAGATTTTAGTTTGGTTAACAGAACAAGAATTTTTTCCCTCTGCCTATGTTGGAATCCTCACATTAGCATTTCCCACCTTGATTATGTATATGAACATCCATGGTGTCTATGTAGATAACAGAGAAAGGGGAAACATACACAGGAAACATCATAGCTTAGTAGCATACTTTACACTTGACCAGTAGAGGAATTTAGGACCACACTGAGAAGAAACATACAAAATCAAATTGAGGCTTACACAATAAAAGCAATTGAGTGTGTTAAGAAAAAAATAAAACAAGAAAATGAGTTTCGGATGTATATTTACTGTAATGAAAAGATGTTAATGTTCACTGTAACAGAAAGGGTATAAAGAGCATTCTTAATATACCACATAAAAAATACATGCACATGTACAGAATATGAGTATCTATTTTCGAAGCACATATACATGTATTAAAATCTAGTTGTAGGGATATACACTAAAATGTTAATGGATTATGGGGGAATTTATCTTATAACAATTAACATAGATTTTGATTATCTCTGTAATGAGAAAAATATGTTAAAAAGTAATTCAAAGACTTTCTGTTACAGAGCTGAATTTCCAAGAAAGAAAAATCTCCAGGAGTCAAAAGAAAGAGAAAATGAAAGCTAGACTGGTTAGTGCCTGAGTTAAGGCAGCCAGGTGGAGGGGCCAAGGGAGACTGGAAATACAGTGATGAAGGCTGTCGTTTGGACCTGACTACTGAATAAATAGAACTTCTTTTATTTCCTTTGGCCTAGGGGTGCTGTGAAAAAATTACAGACACCAAGGGTGCAGTGAACCAAGAAATAATGCCAGAGAGAAGTGGCAGAAGGCCTTCTATGCCATGTGTGTGACAGTCACTGTGGTTGGATAATCCAACATCTTTTCCCATCCTCCTCTCCCCTGCCCACTTCTACCATAAAGGCTGGGAAAAGCTAATACTTTCCAAGTTGTCCTTGAAGCCTAAGGAACCCATGTGACCTAGTTATGGCCAATTAGATGTTAAGTGGATGATAGCTGGAGCATGTGGGAGGTGGGGTGCTTCTGGAAAAGCATTTGCTTTTCTGATAAAAAACACTTAAGTGCCCTGCTTCCTCCTTCCTTCTTGACTCTGATGCAGCAGTTTAACGCTTGGGGTCAGGAGCTATCTTGTGACCATGAAGTAAAGGCCAAATGAAATGAACATCAGTAAAAGCTAACCTCTGGATTTCTTGCTATTTAGAAAATAAGTCCTATTTGTTTAAGCCATAGGAAGTTGGGTTGTCTATTACTTTCAAACAAAAGCGTTCCCAGTGACACAAGGAGTTTAGACTTGGTTCTGTGGACAGCAGTGACTCACTAAGTGTTCAGAAAGATTTCTGATCTGCTTCCTGCTGTGTATCCAGTATTCAGAACAGTGTCTAGTATATAGTAGGGACTCCATAAAAAACTGTCAAATGAATAAATTAAATGGGAAGAGATAACAGAGCAATTAAACAGGGTAAGAGATGACAGCAAAATCCAGACAAGGAGCATAGGAGATAAAACTAAGGTAGCAACAGTGAGGATGGAGGACTAAATAAACGGAGCCTCTCTGGTGATGCAGCAGTCCTTAGGTCACATGGAATAACGTTATAAGTTCTAACAATATTTGACCTACATCATTTAAGTTAAAATCAGCATTCGCTACATATAAAAACTAAAAAAAAAAAAAAAAGACTCACCAGGATACTGTTTTGCTGTCAGCTCTAGTTTATGAGATAGCTGCATGGCGCCAGTGGTGTTATCTACTGTGTAAACCTGCACAGAACCACTGTGGAAACAAACAGACTTTAAGGAAATTGATTCAGTGAAAAAAGACAAATACAGATATAAAAAGCATTACTAAGGGAACATCATGTTTGGCTGGCAGGAGTGTAAACTGGAACAAAATCATTTTGTAAAAAATCTGCAACCATCTCATAAATTTGAATAAATGCGTATCTAGCAATTTCACCTCTCCACGTTGTACCAGGGTTGGTTTATGTGACCGACAGCATATAGCAGAAAGGATGATGTTACATCAGAGGTTAGGGTATAAAAGACTGCAACTTCCATCTCAGACACTGTCTCGCTTGCTTCTTTCTTGGATCACTCGCTCTGGGTGAAGCCAGTACCACGTTACAGGGCACACAGGCACCCAACAGCCACGTGACGGAACCTGGAAGTGGGTTCTTTAGTCCCAGTCAAGCCTTGAGATGACTGCAGCCCTGCCGAACACTTGACTTGTAAGAGACCCTGAGTCAGAACGCCCCAGCTAAGCAGCTCCTAGATTCCCCACTCTCAGAAACCAAGATAATAAATGTTTGTTGTTTTACAAGTTACTACAAAATACCTCAGTAATACACACACAAACACACGTGTGTGTGTGCACGTATATAAAAATATATCTAATCGTATTTTTGAATATTTGAAGTAAGTATGGAAAAATGTTTTTAACTTGAATCTAGGTTACAAACGTTTGGAATATGGGTTTCACCACACTATTAAAAATTTGCTTAAAAAATTTTGCTTAAAAAGCTAAATAAAAAAAACACTAGTATATTTCTTTTTGGTAATATAGAGAACCATCCCACTGGGAAACGAAACAAAATAAACAAAAAATAATGGATAAAATTCAATAACATTTTTCCTAAAACTATCAATGAGCTAGCAAGATAGTCATTCCCACGAAATTTCACTGAAGCGGGATCCAGGAGAGGTATGCCAAGCATTAAATCCCCTTACACACTGAGGTCATTTGCCGAACATGGCAAACTTGTTTGCAGTTTTCATAGCCTCACAGAGGGCAGGTAGCTGGGAGCGGAAAACAGGTTGACCTTATTTGAATTATGCATGTAGATACACATTCCCTATGACCCAGCAATACACTATTAAGTATACCTTAGAGAAGCTCTTGCATATATATGCTAGGATACATACACATATATAACTGTGCACAGCATCATTGACTGTAACAGCCCCAAACCAAGAGATAATGCAAATGTCCATCAACAGCAAAGTGGATAAATTATTGTATACTCATACACTGGAAAAGTATAAATCAAACAAATGAATACATTCTAGCTACTGGCAAACGACACGGATAAATCCCACAATTTTGATTAAAAGAAGCAAGACAAAATATAGAGTATGAATCTATTCACATAAAGTTGAAAATGAGGTAAAATTAAACTATATTCTTCAGGAATGCATACACAGGTGGTAAAGCTATAAAGAAAAGCAAGTGATTGCTTATTACAAAGGCCAGAAAATTGGTTTCCTGTAAGGGAGTGGCGGGGGACAGGAGAGTGGGAGCTGTGATTAGGAAGTGGCACAGGGTAGAGCTTCTGGTAGGCTGGCAATGTTCTGTTTCTTGATCCAGTTATCAACAGATGGGTGTCTGTATTATAATTTTTTGTTAAACTGTGAATATCTGGATTATGTGCAATTTCTGAATATTTTTCTTTCACAATTCAGTAGTTAAGGATAGTATACACTATATGCCAACAAACTTGAAAATGTATATGAAAGAAACTAATTTCTAGAAAAACTGACTTAGGAAGAGATAGAAGATACAAATCCTTTTAAATTTATTTAAAAAACTGAACTGAATCAGTAGTTCAAAACATTCCCACAAAGAAAATTCAAAGCTCAGATGGCTTCAACCATAAATTCTATCCCACATTCAAAGATGAACAGAGAAGAGAAAAAGAGGATCCCCTCCTGAACTTGTTTTATGAGATAAACAACCTTGTAACAAAATCTAAGGGAAAGTAAAAAAAAAAGAAAATATTACCGGCAAGATGCACTCATGGACATTGGTTCTAAAATGTGACCAAACCAAGTCTGAGTGTGTGTGCATAACACATATAGTATGAATTAAAGCAAGACACTGATCTTACATGTGAGCTTGAAACTTTCTTGTTAACTAAGGCATACCCACTAATCCAAAGGCAGTGTCAATGCTTAAGTCTTAAAAAGGATGATTAAAAAAAGAAAAAGACAAACTGAGCATTCCAGAAGAAGAAATACATCTTGAGTAGGTGGTATGTGAAAAACACATCTCACTTCATCTCAAGACGGAGCCTGGCCGCCTAGCCCCATTTCACCGCTTGGCTGTTTACTCTTTTCCTTTAGACTTTCCACATATTCCCACCTTCTAAAGCAAGACAAGGGGTAAGACAACTTATTCATGTCATACAAATGGAATCTGAATACTTCCAGATTCTCTTTTAAACAATAAAGAAGCTAAAATTTAACTGATCCACTCTTTTTAACTTATAATTCAATTTTCTACCTCTGAAGAAAAGCCCACTTTTAAAATATAAATGCTCAATCTCCAGAATTTGCTCTTTATATTTGCTTGCTTCAATTTGCTAAAACACCTTTAGATTTTTTAGTAAGGCTGATTTATAAATCATGATAGGCATGACAAAGTTTACAAGTATATTAAGTATATCTTATGCTTAAAAACATTATTTTTGGCAGTAATTTAAAAATACAGCAGTCTTTATCAATTACCTTGCACAGCCAAATGCCATTAGTCGATACTTGTTATTTACTGCTACGCAAGTTCCATCAACAACATCTTGGGGCCAAACTCCATGAAGCTGCTATAAAATTTAAAGGAAATACCAGAGCAGTAGAGTATTATTCAAACAAACAGTACATGGAGATAAATATCAAAATAACCAGTAAAGGAGTAAAAAGTAGTTGCCTCTGAAAATGGATAATTGGGGCTGAGCAGAGCAGGGAGGAGGGCAGAACTATTGTTTTTCTTCAATATGTCTCATAGAATTATTTGTCTATTTATATTACTTATAGTTTTGATTTAAAAATTATTTAACAACCTCTAAAACCCTAAATAAATAAGGAAAATAAAGGGTGTGTACAGTTAATAACAATGAGGAAAATTAACAACTGCAAAATAAAGAAAGTAAACAAGCAAAGTCAGTCAGTCACACCTCTGCCGTGAGTCGACTTGACACCGGTGTAATAAATCCCACTCTGCCATCATTAAACACAATGGCAAAGCCATCCAGTGTGGCACAGTATTCCATGTCTCTGATGTACACATCTGCAAAGCCCAGGAACGAACCTGCTGATGAAAAAATAAATACATGAACCACTCTCTCACATTTTGTTTGCAAACCCTGTAAGGATAGTTAGAAGGGCAAAAATAATAATCTAACAAAACTGAACAATTAAACTACCCTTTCCTCCTAACAGACAGAGGCACACATATATATCTCTCCCTTGCATAATGATTTCCAAAGTAGAAAAGTCAATGCCCGTCCGTGGAAAATATCTTAAGTCAATTATCCCAAACACTATACACTTGGTTCTACCCTATGCAGAAAGCATTCCTACCTCTAGATGACTGCAGATCTACTGAAAAGGGTACTGTGCAAAGATTAATGGCTTTCCTTCCATTTGTCATGCCTTCCCAGTGAATAAGATGAAGAAGTCCATCAGAAGTAGCAACCAGGAGATCTTCCAGCACAGACTGCAAACTGTAGGAAGTCAGCAATTTAGAGTCAATTAACTTTTAAGAGAGAGCGTACTGAGAAAGCAATGAGTTTTAATATAAGTGCTTTGGAGACTACTTAGGCAAAGATCATGAAAACCATTTACAAAACATCTCTATTTATTTGGAATTTATCTAGGTAGCAATTTTATTTATCTATAATTCAATGCAGAACTAGAGATTCTGGAAGAAATGAAAGACTATGGGCAGCCACAGTTACAAATTTGATGAATTAGATTAAAAATGAGAAATATGGAACAGCAAACTGGAAGAGAAAGGATAAATTATAGCTGACAAGAAAGGGAAGAGGCAGAGAAAATATAAAAAGAGCCTAGAAGTAAAAAAAGGATGAAAATCTGGAGCCACAGAGTGTAGAGGTTAACAAACCTCTAGTATTGTCAACAGAACTTTCTACAATGATGGAAATGTTCTGTATCTGTACTACCCAATATGGTACCTACTAGCCACATGTGGTGACTGTGCACTTGAAATATGGCTAATGTGACTTAACAACTGAATTTTAAATTTTATTTTAATTAATTGAAATTTAAATAACCTCACGTGACTAGTGATTACCGTATTGGAGAGCATAGCTCTAGATCAATGTGTTTCTAGAGTATCACTGAGTCTCATATTGTTCATTCATTCAACAAACATTTAACTGAGCCCGTACTTTGTGACAGGTCTTATACTCTGTGTTGGAGATACAAAGATGAATAAAACAGAGTACCTCCTTTCAGAAGACCTCTCATCCAAGTATTGAAAAATAATTACGTAGTATGAGCTCAGCAGTTAACGCTATTTGCAAAGCTATTTCACATTTACTTCCCCACTAATGGGAGAAAAAATGTCTGCAGTGGTAGTTATATGTTTGGCACTAAATGTGTGAGAGGGAGGGAGGGAAGGAGGACTGGAGAGAAGACGGGGAACCCATAAATGAAACTGCAAAGGTACTGGCAGAGAGGAGAAAAAGAGAACCAGGGGAACCACTGAAGACTGGCATCAAGGAAACTGAAGGAATAAGGTGGATTTAAGAAGAGTAGTCAACAATATTAAGTGCTATAAAGGCTTCACACATAAAAAGAAGAAATGTAAAGTGCATATATAAAATATATGTATATATTATATTAAACTTCCTTTCATATTTAAGAAGGAAATAGTGTATTTTAGAAATATTTTAATCCATAATGGGGAAAATATCTTCAATGTTTTAATTCTTAAACCAAACCTTCAACTCTTTGGACAGTTGACTTTAATGACTCATTCCCCAAGGGCTTCTGATAATGAAGAATTTAGTGTATTTTGTTCACAACTATAAAAGTATTGAAAATGGCTAGAATAAGATGTTCTCTTACTCAACTCTCTCTCTTAAACTTCACAGCATTTGGAATCAATTAAAATCCCCAGTTTATAGAAAGTTTAAAAAAATTTACCTTTTAAAATATTATATATTCTTTCATTTCAAATATATATTTTAGGGACAAAATTTATGTGTTATGTGGTGAGCAGAGTATAAAAATTTTATGTTTTAGATCTGCTACTACATGTCTAGAGCTGGTTTCGTGGGGGTAGTCACTGGTTTACCAGTGATTTTCATTCAGCAGGAGTCAGCTGAGATTTTTGTCAAACTCTATTTTCCTCTCTCCCGTGCCCACCTCCCCACCCCTGCCCGAGGACAATCACTGCACACAGAAGCGATGGCAGTTAGGAACCTGTCAAGCATGTGACTGGTGTGAAGGCAGAATAATGACTGAGAACCACTGCTCAGTGTTACAGAATCGTAGTACTTCAGAGAAGAAAGTAAAAGTTATACATATTTGCTTCTTTTTCCTGAGAGATACCACATAATGTCTTGCCCAGAGGCAAGTAATATAGCTAAGGTATTCTTTGTAACTCTCAGCATATACTTTATAGCTAGAAAAACCTTCTTCCATCTGGGCTCCAACTGGCTAAAACAATTTTGGTTCCTATGACAACATACCACATTTAAAACCAAAGTAGGGTATTTTAAAGTTTGCATGATGATTAAAGTCATTTGGGATATTTAAAAAGCATTTTTATAGAGAGAGTGAAAATATGTTTCAGTCTTCCCCAGGGAAAAAGAAAAGGCTTAGTTAAAATGTCACAAATACCAACTCTAAGGATGAAAAAAAACCTATGCTCTCATTCAACAGCTGTGTACTGCATGCTTACCATGTATGAGGCCAGATAATAGGTGCTGGAAAAAAGAAAATAGTGCCTACCCTGGAGAGCTCATAGTCCGGTTGCAAAGAAAGGTGTCACCAGGAAAAGTGGTAATAACTTTAAGAACAGTGGGTCAGGAGAGTCCCAAGGAAGAAGTGGTGAAAATGTACATAAAAGGTGATGACTGACATGAAAGCTGGGTCTTCTTGAAAGCAGAGTAGGAAAATACAGGGTGAACACGGGGAATGAGGACTTTAAAGGAGAACGAATAGTCCTTACGGAGGCAAGGAATTATTACAGAACAGTCAAAGAACGGAAGAAGCTTCCCCTGGAATGCAGGGGCCTAAACGAGGAGGAAGAAAGGAAGAGGGCTGAAAATGTAGACTGGGATAAAATGGGGAAGGGCTTTGTATTCTAATGATAAAGCAGAAGCAAATATTGTTAATAATTGCCACCTATGGAAGCAAAGTGACCAGATTTGTTTTTTTAAGAACGTATGTCTGGCAAAATATGGAAAAGTATGGAAAAAGGGAGATCAGACACAGAAAACCAAGTACAGGCAAGGAGTAAGAAGGCCTGAACTAAGGCAATGGCAATGGCAGTTTTCAGTGATGGAAATGAGGAGATGGACTTGAGAAAGGGGAGAAAAAGCAGTAAGAATCATTAATCAACTGAATGCGGAAAGTGAAAGAGAAGGGGGAACACAGGATAATTCTAGGGTCTCCAAGCTGGGCAACTGGGCAGTGTGACATCAATAACCAAGATACCGAATATAGAAAGAACAGGTTCAGGAGGTAAGTTTAAGTTTAAGCATGTCTGAGATATCCACAGGATACCCAAGTACTCAGACAGGTGGGATATGGGTCTGGAGTTGAGAAGCTAGATCAGAGCTGAAGACAGATTTGGGACTCATCAGCTGCATATAAAATCTCCTTCAAATCCTTAGCTGATGCTTCAACTGTACCTGACTGGGGCGAGACTTCAAGAAACATGGGGAATTGCAACAAATGTCACAAAACAATTCGTGTTTAAATTATTTGAATGAAAAGCTAATTTATGCTTGTAAACTTTCACCTAAAACACAATAAACTAAAAAAGAAGAAAAAGTATAAGAGGGACCAGAAAACACCTCAAACTTTCTACTTAATCCCCAAAACGGCCTGTGTTTTAGGAGTAAAGACTATGTATCAGGAATACAAGCAACACTGAAGTAGATCCACCCTAACAAGCCTGAAATGAAATCTTCACAAGATCATTATTCTACAGTAATTTAACTGCCTGCTAGGCAAAACTCAACTCTCTTCCAACAAAGTTAACAGAATTCAGAGTTTCTACAACATTATCATTCACAAAGTTGCAATAAAATAAAGATCAGATGCGTGAACAAATAGGAAAATGAGATCCAGAGTCAAGAGAAAAGTCAATCAATATAAATAGACTTACAGACAATCCTGATGTTGGAATTAGTAGACAATGACTTTAAAATACCTGTGATAAATGATAAAGAGTCTACAGGAAAAGATATATTCTCTTCATTTAATTGAAAGTAAAAAAAACTTGTTAAAACAAAGGCTTGATGGCAGTTGTTAGAGTACTGAATACTTCCATCCAACCAACCAACCTGTTGCTGTTGATTCCAACACCATATGTGTCAGAGTAGAACTGCGCTCTATAGGGAGTTCAATGGCTGATTTTTCAGAAGCAGACAGCCAGGCCTTTCTTCCAAGGCATCTGTAGGTAGAGCCAAACCTCCAACCTTTTAGTTAGCAGCTGAGTGTGTTAGCCATCTGCACCACCTAGGAACTCCAAGGAGCCCTGGTGGTACAGACGTTAAGAGCTCAGCTGCTAAGCAAAAGGTCAGCAGTTTGTTTTTTCTCACTCAATTTAAAATTGGATAGAGTATCTCCAATCACATTTCCAGCAAGTACAGTGTTCCCACTGCTGTAGAGTCGATTCCGACTCACAGAGGCACTAATAACATTAAATTGCTCTGAAATGCAAATTTTCATTTGGAGTTTTGAGAGAAATCTTAGAGATTTCCAACCACCTAAATCTGTAGATTAAAAAATAGCACCTGACAGGTTAAACTTCTCCAAGACGGCAGAAATTCTTTTCTTTGAGGCTCTTTTTTTTCCTGTCCCATTTCCATGTACCATACAACTCCTACCTCTAGGTGGTGGAAGAATGCCATGCTTGTGCAGTTCCACACTGCTCGGTACCCACAATCAAAGTTCCTTATGCGTTAAATTACGTTCTTGAAAAGGATCTCTACACGGAAATCAAAGAAGTCTGATGTGACAAGCCCTGGTGGTGCAGTGGTTAAGAGCTGCAGCCACTAACCAAAAGGTTAGCAGTTCAAATCCACCAGCTGCTCCTTGGAAATCCTATGGGGCAATTCTACCCTGTCCTGTAGGGTCGCTATGAATTGGAATTGACTCAATGGCAACAGGTTTAGAGGTGACAAGTAACTTTCTCATCAAGGATCTGAACTCAATCTTTTGTAAAACTGATCACATTTAAGCAAATAACAACAAAAAATAGCCTTCTTTTCCAATGAAAATAAGGTATAAAAGCATGGATTAAACAAGGCAAGATAACAGCCAGGAGCTAGCATAGAATTTTATTTAAAATGGTCCAGTGTCATTCTGTACTGTATTCTAACAAGAAAAATGATAAAAGAAGCCTTATTAGAACTGTGAGTCAGGAAGATATTTTTAAAATCAGGCATTACATTCATATACTTCAATACATTCATGTATTTCATTCATATAGTTCAATATTTAAAAAGAGTACACAGTACAAAAGTCTTTCTTCCAACCCTGTCCCCCCGCCACTCAGTTCTCATCTCTGGTATCTTATGTATCCTTCCAGAATCATACATATTCTAACACCACCATCTCCACTGTAAAAACAAACAGTAACATTATATATACCATGCCACACCTGCACTTTGCATATTTCACCTAACATTTACTTTTTCAGTAAACAGTGTCCTCATTATGTTTACAGCTGCATGCAATTTTCACTGTGTAGATATAAGAAAATGTATTTAAACAGCTCCCTATTGGTGGGCATTTAGGTTGTTTTCAGTCTTTTGCTATTACAATGAAAAACCTTGTGAACATGTCATTTGCAATATGTATAAATGTATCTGTAGGATAAATTCCCAGCAGTAGAAATGCTGGGACAAAGGCCACAAATATTCGTAACGGAGGGGGAACTGTCTGTTATCTTTCTTATAGTGATTTCTTACTTAGCTGTACTGTAACCTTGAAAATCTACATAAACTGGTTTTCACTGCAATTAGCTAAGAACAGAACATTTCTACATAGTAAAAAAATTGAAATTTTGATAGATTAATTAACTTGATGGCACCTAATAACATAATAAAGTACCAAATGCTAACTATTTTCAACTGTAGCAAACACTGGAAAGATACAAGAGATTTTCCATTTATTCAACAAATTTTCCCTGAAAACAGGCAATCATCTTTTAGAAGTGGGAAGAAAATACGTAAACAATATTATAGGTAAAATGGCCTCAGAATGCTCTATACACCTCTTAAGAAAAAAGATGTACAGCATCCAGCTCAGTTATACTGAATCCGAATTTCAGGGAGTAACTGAAGCATTTATCCTTTTTAAAGCTCCATAGCTGATTCTGATGCTCCGCTAAAGAAGAACTACTGAGGTACAGAATACAGTTGAGGCACCACGAGAAGAGTGAGACGTCGTTTGAGGTAAGGGCAAGAAAACAGCCAAGCCTTTATAGAGAATGAGCTACTTCAGCTGGGGGTCTTGAAAGGTTTTCACCAGTCAGACGAAGCAGTACAAGTCAAGTTATGGAGGTACCCAAAGCTTTGCTATCCTGGGATAATCTGGTGTGGCTGGATTGTAGGGCTCAAGGGGCCACAACAGACGAGGCTAGAACAGGAGCTGAAATCCTCATAGGCTTGGATATAGGCTGGAGCCAACCTAGATGCAGGGTCTCTACTATGAAGACTACTGTAATTAGTCAAAAAAAAAAAAAAAAAAAATTGGGGTCTTAATTAAAACAGTTAACACTGGGGTTTAATAAAACCAACCCAAACCCACTGCCGCCAAGTCAATTTCGACTCACAGCAACCCTACAGGACAGAGTAGAACAGCCCCATAGGGTTTCCAAGGAGCGCCTGATGGATTCGAACTGCCAACCTTTTGGTTAGTAGCCACAGCTCTTAACCAGTACACCACCAGGGTTTCTGGGGTTAAATAAAACGGAAATAAAATATTAAACATAATAATAGATTTGAGTTACTAAACACTGAGCTGAGGGAAAAGGAAGAAATAAGGATGACTCTCATGTGGTGGCACAGTAGTTAAGAGCTCGGCTGCTAACCAAAACGTCTGCAGTTCAAATCCACCAGCTGCTCCTTGGAAACCCTATGGGGCAGTTCTACTCTGTCCTATAGGGTAGCTAAGGGTCGGAATCAACTCGATGACAACAGGTATTCTCATGTATCCGTCTTAGGTAACTGGACGGATTGTGCTGCTAATCACAGACATAAGGTAAAACTAAGGCAGGAATGCAATCCAGATCTATGTTTATACCATGATCTAATATCCTTTCCAATCAACCAGAATTTTTCCTGAATTTACAATTAGGTAAGAAATGCTGTTTTAATCCACATAAGATACAGCAACATCCCAAACCAAACAATTGTAGAACTTTATATAAATTTCTAAATAAAACTACAGCTAGTATACTCAATTCAGACATTATTACAATAATTTAAATATAATGATATACCATCTGTAAAACTTCAAATGCCTTGTAAGTGTAATCAATCATTTCTAAAGCTAAAAAAATTATTATCTTCAATTAAAAGAAATAAAATCAACCTTCCAATGGTCATATAGTAAATGCGTGCTGGAGCTGGGAAGGAAAAACAGAATAAGCTAGTACTGGTCATTCAACTATATGAACATAACAGTAATAACTGTCATTAACCAGCTACACTATACATTATCATAACCAATGTGAAATTCAACCAAAATACTGTACCTCATGATAGGTGCTTGCAAGTCCAATATTTTCTTCATCTCTAAATTTAATGCTGGAGCACACTGTTCTTCCTTAAAATGGGGTGTTCCCTTCGTTTGTGGACTTCCTCTAAAAGAAATAGCAAATATACAGGATTAAAGGAAAATAACTGAATTCTCCTCCACTAATATATACACGGAGCTCTGGTGGTGTAGTGGTTAAGAACTTGTCTGCTAACCAAATGGTTGGCAGTTCAAATCCACCAGCCACTCCCTGGAAACCCTATGAGGTAGTTCTACTCTGTCCTATAGGGCTGCTATGAGACGGAATCAACTCGACAGCAACAGGTATAATATATACCCAATCAAATAAGATCAGAATAATTAAATTTACAAATCAGGGATTCATCCTTTAGATTGTCAAATGAAAAACTGACTTAAATTCTATCATAAAGCTGATGTATCTATTTATCAACTGAAAGTGAGTTTAACCAATGTAAATTTAGGGGTGGGGGGAGGATATCTGAAAATAAGGTAAAAGTGAAAAGTGAACTCTCAAGAGAACCAGCTGACATTCTGTTTAAAATGGCTGACGGTCCCTTCTGAGTTGGACAACTATGGAAAATATGTACCAGTATATACAGTGTATGTCCTAAGTGGTGCACATCTCATCCTTGATTGATTCCTATTTCTTGGGTATGTATTAGAATTAAGGTCAGATTCAGGGCGCAGGACTTTGGAAAACTCCCACATATACTGGGAAATCTAGAAAGCCACGTGCCATGCTCAGGGCAGGACACCTGGTCAGAAAAGCCCACCAGCTTTCACCTCTGGATGATCTAAAGGATTAGCCCCATCTTAGTGAAGGCTGAGACAGTTATGATCAGCCTGACTAAGCATTCAAGGAATGTCTCAACACAGAGCCAATCTGCAAAGAACTGGACTCTTTCCCTCTCCCCTTCCTTTCCTTTCTTTTGGCTCTGAGTGTTTAAAGGAAATTTCTGTCAAACCACTAGCTGAGCACTAACCTAAAGCAAGAGACTTTAGACCATGCAAGCAAAGAATACAGTCTTTACAAAAAAGTTTAGAAAGTCACTAAACAAACAAACAACAGTTTAAGTTCTCATTGTTCTCAGGCCAAGAGAATTGTGTTTCTAGCATGTAGCTGTCTAAAGTTAATTCTTCAGATAATCTGGCTTATTTATAAACAGAGAAAGCTTTCCAATATGCTTTAAAGTTTAATCTTGACACTTTGTTTTGAATTTCGAAATATGAAATCCAACAATATAAGTTTCAGAATTAAAGTGAAGAGACATCAGAAACTATTAAAAATCTCTCGGTTATTGCAAAAATCCAACGTAAGAAAAATCCAATCATTTCACTTCCTTATGCAGAGAAAAGAGACCCAGGGAGGTACTCTGTCACCAACACACTCATGACAGAACAAAGATTAGAATCCCAGACTCTTATTATTCATTGCTCTGTAGGAATAAAATAAAGCGTATAACCTATGGGACCGTGGACAAATAGGGTGTGGGACGTGTCCCATGTGGACATATATGGCCCATGACTGCATTTACAAATGGTGATTTACATAGGATTTGTTAAGACTCAGTTCGTGAAGTAGAACATACCTAGAGACACTAGTTACCCTTATCACTGGGGTGTGGAGTCTGTTTCTCTATACAAAAAACCAAACCCATGGCCATGAAGTCGATTCAGACTCATAGAGACCCTACAGGACAGAGCAGAACTGCCCCATGGAGTTTCCAAGGAGCCACTGGTGGATTTGAACTGCCAATCTTTTGGTTAGGAGCTAAGCTCTTAATCACTACACCAAAGTTTAAAAAAAAATATTGCTTTTATATTATGTATACCTACATAAAACAAGCTTTAATGCTACTATAAAATGAACTCGTTAATGAAATAAATATTAATATAAATAAGTAAATAATGCTAATATAAGTAATAGTAATAAGAGTTTATCACGATAATAAAGCTATATTTGTAGACACCTGGAATTTTCAAGTACAGTATAATATTGCTGCCAAAGTTCTTGAGAACAATCAAGCTTGTGACTGTTTACGTTTGATACATGACTCAATTTAAGACTTGCTTTCAACTAAGAGCACTTGTATTTTTTGGCAATTTTCTTAAGATTTTGCCATTCTTCAAATTCTAGTTCATTACAAACCCACATACTTAGCGAACTAGAATTCCCTTCTTTTTTGAACACACTTAAATTGTTTTAAACATCTAGTGAAGGAAAATTAAGTTTAACAATTCAAAAATCAACCTAGATAACAGTAACAATTGCAACTTATTGAGACCCTACTAATAACTAAATAGCTATACAATTAATTTTCTTATTTTAAAGAAAATGATGGGAAAGCATAGAAAAGTAACTCAAAAAATAATTTTTCCAAAATCATTGCCAGTAAAAAGTAGAACCAGGATTGGAACCCAGGCCTCTTTGATCCCAAATGCCATACTCTTCTACACACCTCTAAACTGCTGTGTGTGTGTGTATTCAAAGTAGTGATATCAAGTCTATGAAAAATACCATAGAGTAGAAAAATGGAAGTAAGCAGGTTTGAGAGTTTTGTTTTTGTAGTATATTTTGCGTAAATTAAGAGCAGAGCTTCCCACCTTTCCAATCTAATGAATGACAAGGCATTCAGGTAAACGAGTAGCTCCCAAAGGGCAATGAAAAATGAAATGCTTATTATGGGGTAGGCCAACTACAGGTCAAACTTCCTATGGCTCTGAGAAGGGAGCAATTTCTCATCAAACCAATAAAAACAAAAAATCAAGTGTATCATAAAAATTACAGAAAAGTCTCAAAAGAAATACAACAACAATGAAGACTGCTCTTAACATGTCAAGTATGCTTTGGAGGGCCAGACCAGGAGATACAGAAAACTGTCAGTACACAATTAAATTCAACAGGCATTTATTTCAGCAAATTCTACTGTGCAGGAGATTTCAAATATTTTAAGTGCCAGTTAAAGAAAAGAACAGTGTGACAGATACCCTATGGATTTGGGGAGAGCGGGAAGGTAACAGAAAACTTCAAGGGTGCAGCTAATTACACAACATAGCTTACCTAAGGTCTATCTTGCCTCCCAAGTACACCTCATCTCCTTATTTACAATACTTCCCTGACAACTGAGCACCTTCCCCTGAAAGTTGTTATGACTTTTGGGTCTATTCATTCACTTGGCATCTGTCACTCTACATTGCTACTGACTTTAAAGATTTCTCTCTCCATAAGCATTTTATACCTCTTCAGCACCAGAGTATTATAGCATTATGTCTTACAAATGAGGGTAGGCATACAATAATTGTTAGATGATTGTGAAAATCCCATTCAAGATTTCTAAATCTTTTATGTTAGGCTTGATCTAGGGAGTTCTGGCATTCCTAGGTGAACTCTAGGACCAACACGCTTTGGATCTCCAAAGGTCTGAAAAGGTTCAGAACTTTGAAGAAAAGGAATAATCAGAACTGTTTCCTTCCTCAGACTCCACACTTCATATTTCATTTGCAGACAACACAATCATTTACTAGAAAATCTACAGAATGAAAATATTTCTGGATAAAATTGAAATAATATCTTTGTTGTTGTTAGGTGTTGTCAAGTCGGTTCCCACTCGCAGTGACCCTACACACGACAGAACGAAACGCTGCCCAGACCTGCGCCATCCTCACAATAATAATATCTTAGATGTGCTTAAATATACTCTAGTGGAAAAAGACTGAAAATTGGTCAAGCTGAGTGATGGGCACATATCAAACCAAATCTGTTGCCATCGATTCGATCTTGACTCATGGTGACCCCGTGGGTTTCACAGTAGAACTGTGCTCCACAGGGTTTTCAATGGCTGTGACCTTTTGGAAGTAAACTACCAGGACTTTCTTCTGATGCACTTCTGGGTGGACTTGAACCACCAACCTTTTGGTTGGTTAGCTAAGTGTGCTTAACTATCTGCGCCACCCAGGGACTCCTAATGGGCACAGAGGAGCTCATTTTATTATTCTACTAATAGAGTAAGTAACTGGTATCAAACTAGCTCTCCCACCAGAAACAAGAAAACTGGACATGATACATGCCATATTCAGACACTAGATAACAGGCAGCTTTAAGACTGATTCTGAGTAAAGGGAAACAAACCAAGTTTTCTACACAAGTCACTTTTCAGAATGCCACACAGGGTGAGAGTACCCAGTCATAGGATGGCAGTCTCGCTAAATTGAGAGAAAGAGCCAAGCTCAGGAAAGCTGAAGCAACTACAATTTGTGGGGCAGAGTACCACAAGCTCTAGGTTCTAAATGTCACCCAAGAGTATCACAGAGGTGGGAGCTAAGCAGAGAAAGAACTCTAGGAACCTGCAGGGGTTCCCCTTGAGTCTTTTGCTTAATACTAAGCTAGGCAGACATACGGTGAAACCTCATGAGGCAAGGCAAAGAACAACTACCAGGGTTTAAGGATGAACAACTTCCAGAGCACCTACAGTGCTGGGAAACACCCCAGTCCTGACCAGCTGGAGTGGAGAAACCTGGATAAAGACCCAGGGCATTTAGTAGAGACTTCAGAATGACCGCAACTTAGCAAACAGCCTAAGCTAGGAAAGAGTAAAGGTTAAATCCACCCTGAAAAAGCATTTACAAACAATCCTCAAAAGGATCAAGAAGGTACCTAAATGATCTGATTGCTGCTCAAACAAACTTCAACAGTCTTTAAAGGAAGAGAACAAATTCTAGACACTTGATAATGTAATACAATGTCCACCATCCAATCTAAAATTAGTAAACATGTGATATGATCCAGCAATCGTACTCCTGGGTATTTATTTACCCAAGAGATACAAACCCAACTTGTGAGTGAAATTGGATTGGAACCTAAAAAAGCAGACATGATTAACAATTTCACTCTTTACTCTGTATATACATCTCATTACTTGATTTTTTCTAAATAAGAATATATTCATGCATTACCAGTATAAATTTTTCTTAAGTGCTGTAAGAGTATAAATGAGGGATCAGCTGTTTTGTGGATACAAGGGAAGACAGGAGAGTTGAGAGGATAAGCTTTGTAGATAAGATGTTTGACCTCAGCCTGAAAACTAA